TTTTTTTTGGTAATATTTGACCTTTTTAATGGACGATCGGAGCAAGACGGATGGACAAATGACAAATTTTAACAAAGTTATTTTACCAATATCGTTACCATGATTAATTTCCATGATTTTATCCAAAGTTCGGTGTTATACTCACCGTTCTTGGTGACTGAACAATTTATAAATATTAAAAATTGTGATGTATATGTATATATATATATATATTTTTTTTTTTTGTTTTTTTTTTTTTGAGGTTCCATCAACACTTACCCCACACTTACCCAACAAACCAATAAAAAGAAAAAAAAAAATTTTGCAAAAGCAAAAATAAATGAAGTAACAAATTTACCTATTCTTTTACCCATTTATACAATAAACAAAATAAAATTTTTTTTTTTTTGTGGTTTTCGACACTTGTCCTACCGGGAGCTTATCAATGAACGAATAAGCAAATAAGGAGATATTAATCGAACACTTTTTTTTTCAAATACAAACCATCATTGCCTACCCGTCATTGGTCATGGTTTAATTCTCATGGTAAATCAACTTACCCTCAAGAATCGCCATTAAGAAATAATAATAATAATAATAATAATAATAATAGTAATATTATACCACTGCTTTGTTTGTTTTTAAAAAAATTTTTTACCTCCTTCTATCCCTACCTTTCGACCCATATCTATCCTCTCTATATCGTCCAGGACTCCTTGAACGACTGCGACCACTACGTCGTCTACTATATTCTCGATCACGATCGTAACTACTTCCATAACTACCACTATGCCTACTGCCATATCTAGACCCACTACTACTACCACCATGACCATACCCTCCACCATTTCCGCCTCGAGATTGACCACGATGTTCCCTATCATGAGAAGAAGAAGCTGGAGGTGGATGGCTCGCATGAATAGCGTAACTACCTTCTCTACCTGAGTATTTTTGATTTTGTTCAGGACCCCCGATACGAGTTCCTCCAAGTCCACCACCTTATATTCATTTTTTTGTTATTAGTTTATTATATATTCATGACAATCAGGATTGTAAATTAAACGATATTAGTAATAAACAATGTTTGCGTAAAATAGAATAAAACACTTACCTAGTCGACGAGGTCGCCAACCCTTAACGGTCCTTCCACGTTCTACATCAACCAAAATACGTCTACCTAGAAGCTTAACACCATCTGCATCCTTATAAGCGGCTAGTTATTTTTTTGAATTATTATGCGATTAGAGGAGATGATATAAAATATCGCAAATATATATCTCAGAATCATACCTTTCATGTCCTTTTCTCTCTCAAATTCAATAAAAGCATAACCTCTAGGTAGGCCACTACCTTTTCTTTTCACAATTCTTATCTATCCAAAGTAGAATATTTTTTTTTAAAAAAAAAAATAAATTAGAAAATGGATAAAACTTAAAAATTGAAAAAAAAAAAAAAATTCTTTTTAGAAATAATTAAAACTTACATTTTCGACAGGACCATACATCTCGAATTCTCGTCGTAAATCTTTTTCTGTCATTTCATAGGACTAAAAAATTTAAAATGATATATTAAGGCTTTGTAATTCATTGTTTAATACAGATTAGATCAAGATAAAATACCATTCTTGCGACAAATAAAGTCTTGAACGGATCACCAGTGACATTATCATCATTATTTGGATCCCCTATTATGTGTTTATACAAGAAAATTCGAGTGTCTTCATATTAATTATAAGTTCGTTGCTTGACCTTTTTTTTATTTTTTAAAAAAAAAAAATATTACATTCTTCAAGCCCTTTTTTAATAGCTTCCTCCGCCTTTTGCTTTTTCTCGGCAAGCTAAAAAAAGTGATTATTGATAAAGTCAAGACCGAATTAAATGCTAGGAAAAAGAATATAAACAAACGTAATATAGATCTCTAAAGCTACTAACTTTACGCTTCTTCTTTTCTTCAACTGTTTCTGTTGGAACGTAATCCGGATCATAATCTTTCAGTAGAGAAATGTACTGACCAACACCGGAAATTGTAGGACCTTTACGCTTAGCAGGATCGCGATCCAACGGTTTTGCATAAGGAAGCGGAGGTCGAGGCGCAAAAAGTGCCAACAAATTTGGTGGTAATTTGTCAGTCATATTTTATAATTGAATGAGTTTTTTTTGACGAACTTTAATTCAGTAGTTATTTATTTAATTCTGACCAATCATGATAAAAGTTAGGACCCGGGTATTAAACATTTATGTAACTTGAATAATAATAAATATCAATTTTTATTTTATATAATGTGTTTTTTTTTTAATTCTCTAACCGTGTTGTAATTACGAAAATAGCAAATAACTCGAATAATTGAAATAATTAAAAACCATTTCCTAATTTATATAAAGCATTTTACTGTGTAAACAATCCTCCAAATTGACTTGCGTAAGCCATGGGACGAATATTAGGATGAGGCTGTCATATAATTTAATACGAGGATTAATAGAATTTCAAAAAAAAAAAAAGAAAGAGAAACCTTAATAAATTAAAGCATACCACGGCCTCAAAAGTTTTATAGCTCAATTTCAAGTCTGGAGTGATATTAATTATCGCGCCCTTATTTCCGATCGTATCGCTAGCAAAGTAATAAGACATTGTAAATCGAACGATTAATTAGGGCAGATTATAAAGAGATAATAATTTTATGACTTACCAATAGTTTGGAGCTGAGAAAACGGTGATACATTTTCCGTTATGATCAATTACATAACCATTCTCTTTGACCTCATGACTTCTTATTAAGAGATCTAAAAGGTATATAACTAAAAGCTTAATATTCACCACATATTGTAAACTTGTAATAAAAATAAATCGTACCAAGATTGTTGCGTTTCAAAAAAGTTTCAGTGACGTCAGGTCCAAACTGTATTCCGACACCTCTCTTGCTTGGGCCTCGTCCAGGTAATGATTGTGGATCTTGAAAGCAACAAATTTAGACTTTCAAGCAAGCAAATACCTTATTTTTAGCAGACCGTTAACATACCAGACCACAACAATTCGCACATCAAACTTCCTTGATCTAATTGTTTCTTGTTGAATCTTTCGATGTTTCTTATATCATCTAATGTGACATCATCGCGACTAAACAATCCACCATGAACTACCAGAATTTTTTGGTTAATTAGATGGGCTAAAGGCAAAGTGCTAAACGTCGCGGAGAATAATTCGAACATTGCGTCATTGTATTTAGCCTTAACTTCTCCTTCAAAACCATAAACTTTATTCATATCATCCGTCTCATGATTGCCTCTGGTAAGATAAAGCGAGTTTGGGTAAAGACATTTATAAGCGAATAAGGTTAATATAACCTCAAGGCTAAATGAGCCACGATCGACGAAGTCTCCGTTGAAAAGATACATATTCGTTTCGGATGGCACGCCGTTAATATTGAAGATGTTGATGAAATCATAAAATTGACCTAGAACACAGTTAAAGTAAGCAGTTGGATATTCTAGACACAAATCAAAGTAGTTACAATTAAATATCGATACTTAAACATACCATGAACATCACCACACACGGTCAATTTTGAATCTTGAGGTATTTTTATATCAACGAGTGATGGTGTTTCCAACATGATCTTTCTGACTGCCAAAATGACCTGACCACAAGTAAATGTTTACCATTATTCCAAATAATGATATCCAACAAAACAAAAAAAGAATGATTTAAGAAAATAACAACGCACAGAAGTGCAAAATTAACTTACTTGAATTGCATACTTCCGGTGAATTTTCTTTTGATTTTTGAAGTATTCCATCATCTCTTCAATGAATTCTTTCGTGATCTTCCCATCTTCGAATTTTGGCCCATCATACGAAGAGTCCACCGCTATTCAAAATAATAATAATAGTCACATCAATAAATGTCAAACTAAATTATAAAAAATTACTTCTCGACCCCCAAATAAAACTTAATTCGGTACTTACTGATCGTGGTTACGTCGATCGTTTCTGCTAGGCTCTTTTGCGTGGATTCTACCTATTAGATCAATTTTTTTTTTTAAAAATAAAAGAGTAAAGTCATTCATTATTATTATTATTATTATTATTTAACAGCATTAACTTTATTATTAACATAATAAAATACCACAATGGCTTTCTCAAATTCGATCCTTCTCACGATCTTCTCGCATTCTGATAATCTTGTCCTGGCATCCTTGTCACCGGGGGCTTTTTTCACAACCTGTCAAAATGGACAGGCTTCGGATTACCATGAATAATCATAAGATAGATTGGATATAAGGTCTAGGTCTGTTTTTCAAATAAAGCCTCACAATTCGAAAATCCCGAAGCGCGTCTTTAAATTTACATAACGCCATATTTGCTGCCGCTCTTCGATAATATCCCTATTAAATAAACTATGTTTAGCATACGAAATTTCAATTGCGAACATCAAAGTTCTAGATAAAGGTTCACCTTGACATATGACGGATCAATTTTAACCGCCGAATCCGCGTCTGCAACAGCATATCCATATGCTTCGGTTTTGATATAAGCGAAAGATCGATTGGCATAGTATGCTGCGACGCTTGGATTTAGGACGATTGCTTCCGAGTATTTTTCTATCGCAGCTTCGTATTTCCTAGCTAGATAATAGTCAAAAACAGTTCAAGCTTAAACATCTCGTACTCACATAACTAAGGAAAATTTCAAACCCTGAAATAATTTATTGGCAGCATCTTTTGCTTCATCGGCTTTGGTTTTGACCTCTTCCGAGCAGGGAACATTTTGATCGCCATTCGAATCGCTACTCATTTTGTCGTGAAAGGTATTTTTTGTTAAGGGTAACCTAACGGAGGAGGAAAAAAAAAAATGATATACCGAATTTAGAGTTCATTAAACATCGTTTGCTGATTATGTACAAATAAGTAAATATAACATTTTTTTTTTCTAGACATTTCTTTCTATGCAGTGTTTCATTTATGCCTAAATCTGGAAGGTTTTACATATAAGAGACAAAACGAACCCCTTTGAACTTTTTATTTTTTCATGCGGAGGAATTATCAACAATTACTTAACATAAAGTCGGGATTTAGTTCGAGAAACTTTTATTCAAAGTTTTCAACGATGTCATCAAAGGTATTGCTTACTCGAACAATACCATCAGAACCTCAAAAGTTTCTAGAAAGTGCCAAGGATATTGAACTTATCCAATGGAAGGAGAAAAGTGTAATTCCACGCGAGAAATTATTGGAAATGGTGAAAGGTTCATCGCATTACTACATTTATAAATTGTTTATAACAAATTTCTTTAATTTAACGTTTTCACCCACATCTTGAAGGTGTTGATGGAATTTTATGTATGTTGACCGATAAAATTGACTCTGAATTGCTCGACGCAGCTGGGCCGAACTTAAAAGTAGTTTCCACACTTTCAGGTTGAAAATTTACCAATTGACTCTTTTGGAATAAATATGTTTTAATCTTCTTTGACGTTAAAAACTTGGCCGACAGTTGGATATGATCATGTCGATTTGAATGAACTCCGTAAACGTTCGATTCCATTAGGATATACGCCAGGCGTATTGACAGACGCCACAGCGGTGGATATTTTTATATTTTTTGTTATATTCCTCGGGCAGAGTTTTAATTTAAATTAAAACTTCAGGAAATCACGGTGATGTTGGTGTTAGCTGCCGCGCGAAGGATGCGTGAGGTAAATCAGTATTACACACACACATATATATATATTGTTTTTGATTTGACACTTTAGATAAATCTGTATTTTACCAAGGGAATTCGAGCAGTTGAGAATGGTGAATGGTGTAAATGGAATCCAACATGGATGCTTGGTATTTTTAAGTTTACGCCTACTTTTTCATTTGTCTTGGAATTTGTTTATGCTTATTGCTATTTTCTTTTTTTATTTTTTTTTATTACATCAGGGACACAATTAACGAATAAAACGGTTGGAATTTTTGGGCTGGGCCGTATAGGCTCTGCCACTGCCTTACGGCTTAAACCATTTATTGGAAATGAAGGCAAGATAATTTACTGTAGTCGAACCGAAAAACCTGAAGCGGCTTCCATAGGAGCGGTAAAAGTCGATTTTGACGTTCTTTTGCGTGATTCTGACGTGATCTGTATTTGTTCTGCCATGAACGAGGAGACGAATGAAATGTTTAATTACGAAGTTTTCAAAAAAATGAAGAAAAATGTGGTATGACTTTTTAAGGTCACAAATCAAAAAAAAAAAAAAATATTGTCAGCCTCATTATATTTAAATTATAAAATTGAATATCATTAGATTCTTGTAAACACAGCTCGGGGGAATATCATTCGTCAAAAGGATCTTTGTCGAGCTTTGTCAGAAGGGATGTTTGGTTCGGTTGGATTAGATGTGTGTACTCCAGAACCGTTGGACCCAAATGATCCACTTTTGAAATTCAATAAAGTGACAGTTATCCCACATCTTGGTAGCGCAACTTTAGAAACGCGTACGTTGATGGGAAACATTGCCGTCAAGAATGTTTTGACCGGAGTTAGGGGAGAACCTTTACCTCATAGTGTAAAGTAATTGAAAACAAAAATGGAAATGATTTTCGTGAAGAAATTTTGATTATGATCGATTATGGCTAGATTGAATAAACAGAATTCAAATTGTTCAGGGTTGTGAAACACAATTTTTTTCTCGATTTTTGACTAATATGTCATAAACCTTCATTTTGTTCAATTTATTTTGTTAAGTTTGAATGAGGAATCCTTACATAATAGAAATTTTACGTTGACAGCTTTCTTTTAACGTGAAAATTGTATTTTTAGAAAATATGTGTGAATGTGATAATGTATGATTGCATCTACAAATCTATAAATAAATCCCAATTTTTCAATGACCCGAAACCCCGGATAAGATCATCAACGAGACTCGAAAATTTCGAAATCCTTGAAGTTATAATCGAAAAATGTTCGTGTCGACAAGACGAATCCAACTAGCCATTGACAATTAAATGCTGTTCACCGGGTCGGAGACATTCTCCTTAAAAGAAAACAAAAAAGGTAAACAAAAGTTTGGTCCAACAAATTCTGATTCTGAGGTCGCACAAGCAAAAGAAAAAAAAATGTTTTATCAATTTTTGATGTCATTTTCTCATGAAGTGAATTTAGGTTATTGAAATGATTGATCCTTGGCAAGTGTTAAAAATAAAATAATTAATTTTTTTATTTATTTATATTATTAAATAAACTGTAACACTATAATTATAACGATAACTACATAAATGAGGCTGTATCTCACCCATATTTAGTTGCGGAAGATATAGAAATTCCTTTTAAGGGTCAATTAAATAAAAATAATGTTCAAACTTTACCTTTCTAATAAATATCAGGTGATTTTTCTGAGGAGATTTAAGCCTCAAATTTTTCATCCATTTCTTTCCTCCCCCTTTTTCAGGTTGAATCCATTTTTAAAATTAAATAATTTAACTAATATACATTTGTTATCATGGCTACTCAATATCAACCGCAGTCTGAAGAAAAATTTGTAACGATAGAAACAAGCGCTGAGGAGCAACGACGTAAAGAAGGGAAAGCCAAATTGATTATTTTGATTATAATTGGCATACTTACAGCTGCTTATGGGGTAACTAAACAAATGAAAATGTACATATATATATGTGAATGAAAATTGAGCTAATGCCTAATGCGATATCTTTTATGAATAAAGTCATGGAACGTTTACAGAATGGTTATCGCAGTCCGTAGCCCTGTGGTTACCATGAGAACGAGTATAAGGTGAGGTAATTTACAAAGATTTTAATAAAAAAAAAAAATTAAATTAATGAACCCAAAAATTTTTTTACAAAAAATTAACATAGGCCGAAAATACCGGTAAATATTTCTCGTTTTTTTTTTTTTTTTTTTTTTTGAAAAAAGAATTTCATAACAAATAATAAGATAAATAAATGATTTTCCATTTTCGAATTAGGTCCCAGGTAAATCAGATGTGAAACCAAATCGAATTTTATATAATAAAAAAACGAATGATTTACATTTTAAAAAAAAAAAATTTTAGGTATGGTAGTTTGTGGTCATTTAGATTTACCACCAGAATGCTTTCGATCCGCATTTAATGTAAGTTTTTGCATTTAAATTTAATTTATCGTTTAAAAAGATCTCGAAATTTAAATTAATGTTTTTATTTTTTGATAGGCGGCGGATGATGATCATACAAAGGTACGTGGTTTAATAGCCAATTGATCCGATCGATCTGCAAATCTGCATGATAAGCTGGTATATTAACAAATTAAAAACAGGGTCTTAGTTGTAATCAACATTTAACAAATTCCAAAACGGATGCAACTCGTGAGCAAGAAATTTTTTTAAAATAGTAAATTAATTATTATATCGGATACAATTAAATATAAATACTCTTTGATTCTTTATAAAAAAAAAAAAAAAAAAAAGCATTTGTAAATATGAGGGGTTACGATAAACTAGATAGTCTTGACTGTTGTAAGTATAAGAATTGAAGATATTTTTAACGAGATCAAAATTTAAGTTAAAATTGATTCCTTTGTTAATATGCTCATAGATAAATTTAATCCATACCAGAAATTGAACGGTTCACTCGGTGATGATGCTTTATTTTTTGATAATGCTACACAAAAGATTGCTATCGCGTTATGGCATAGTGAAAATGCTAATAATACAGTAAGTCATTTAAAGTTTATGACGAATTCTCGTCATCATGATATCATATTGGAGATGGTGTGTGACATTCCTTTTTTTCAATTTAAATAGCTAGGTGCAATTACTCAAGAACGATGGTTTTTTTTTGGAATTTTTGCCGAGGTAATTGCTACAAAATTTATTTAAAAATATGACGCCTTCTATTTACTATTTTTAAAATGAATTTTGATTAGCGAGACGATCCAAACAATGTCAAATTCCAAATTGTAAAAATGGTAAGTCGAACCTACCATGATCACGTGACATTTTTGGAATACTAAATCTTTTTTTGGTTAATTATAGCCTTCTATCAGTTACGTTTACTTCAAAAGGATAGAACGATATGATGTTGTTCGATCAGGTAAATGTTCTTCCAAAAAAAAAGAAAAATTAATATTTATTATATTAACTAATAAAAAAAAATTATAAAAATTATCAGATGCCATAACGGGGGGTGGGTCAATTTCATCAGAGTTGAAGCCAGAAGCAAAAGTAGAATTTGATACAACATTCTCAAGTTTTTCTATGCCTGGATTTATAATCAGTCCTAATTTATGGGAAATAATTAGGTAAATTTTAAACGAGAATATTGCGCCGTTTTTAAATGATTTTAATGTTCCAGATTTGACAATTCCTAAAACTTAGAATCATTCCTTCGAATTATGTCACAAATACGGAGTCTAATAGTCAAGAGTATCCAGTCACAATATATTATAATCGTGTTGAATTTACGCTTCTTCAATTGGTAAGCAAAGTATTATTATTGTTGTTATTTTATTTATTTATTTTATAATAGAAAAAATATATATATAAATAAATTGCGCTACCTATTTTTATTTACAAATGAAGGCGGCCAACATGGGAGGATTTGTTTCAATTTTAAGTGCTGCATACTTTATTTTATTCGGTTCCCGAAAAGTTAATCCATGGGGATTAGTACAACGTCACATACTTAAAAACGTTCCAACTCCACCACCGGTATATGTACCATCGGTTAAACCATATTCCGAAAAAACGCAAGATATAGAGAAAGGTACTATGGAATTTCAATCACAACCAGAAGATCAAAATAATATATACCACCAACCTACAACTTCAAGACCTCAAGTACATGAACTTGATCTTCCCGTACAACACGTAAGTAGACATCAAGTTACAGGAGATCATTATACCCCTATGACACAAGGCACCTCGGAACCTATAAGCCCAACTTACCCAGTATATCCAATTGGACCACAAGGGCCACAAATGCCACCACCAATATCGCCACGTGGTTTGATAGGTAAGTTTTTCATTCGATAACTTTGGTCAAGCTTGTATATATTTATCATGAATTCACGAAATTATCGATTAGTACTTGAACAAGATATGGATGATCCTCGCATTCAAAGGATTCGTCATGAACTCAAGGCTGAAGTCCAAATAACTATAGCGCGTGAACGTTAGTATTTTTCTATTTCACGTGTTTAAAAGTAAAATATACATGATTTTATAATGATTCGTTATTTTTTATAGTCGCAAAATTACGTTTGTTCTTAAGTAAATATTATTTAAAAGATGTAATAAAAGCCGAGTAATTCTATCATTTCAATTATTATTTATTAATGATACAAAGCATTAATTTTACTTCATTATATAATAATCATTAATTAAGTTGTGGCTAATAGACTAAATTTACTTTAGTAATTTTTTTTTTCCCTTTTTTTTTTTTTTTTTTTTTTTTTTTTTTTTTAAAAAAAAAGAGTATATAAAAAAAAAATAAAATAAAAATATTAATTATTAATATATTAAAAATAATTATTATATAATAATCACTTCTCCAATACATCCTGAACATTTTCCAATTTCAAAATCTCCACTGAACTGAGAAAATGAATATCTACGACTAGCACTGTTGGGCGGTGATGACGTTTGATGATCAATTTGTCGTGTAACTTTAATATTGTTATTGGAATCAGCCATACGTTTTATTTGCAATGTGAGATTCAAAGATTTTTGACGTTCTTTGAAAAGTTGTTGTTTAAGTTCTTCTATATTTGAAGAATCTGAAATTTCTTTCGAATTTAATGATAGTTGATTTTCTTCATAAATAATCTTCCGTGTCGTACCATTTGTTATATCCGCATCATATTTTTCCTCTACAGCATTCACTTTCATTGATTCAAGATTTTCTTTAAATATATTTACTTCTCGTTCTAATCGAGCAGCTCTTGATTTTTCTTTATCTACTTCTTCGGCAAGTTGTAATTTATCGTTACTAATTTCTATAACTTTTTCTCTTAATTCAGTCAATTGAGCTATCAAATTATGATTATCACTCGACAACCCGTCAATCTTTGTTGTAATATCCTTAATACGTCTAGTCAATTTTGAATTTTCGGATTGAACAGTTTGAAGTTCTTTTGAAAAATTATCACGTTCTAACTTTAACTCATCGATAACAGAAGTATTCGATGAAACCTGTTCGGTTAAATATAACGCTTCAACTTCTTTTGTTTCAAGAGAACTCGATAATGTTTCAACTTTTTGTGTTAATTCATTTCTTTCATCTTTTAATAGTTGGATCTCTTGATTCATCGACTCACATTTTGCTTGGGTCTCACGTGAAACTCGTTCTGCTTCTGAAAGCTTTACTACATTTTCGGAAAAAAGCTGTTCTGTATTGGTAAATTTATGTCGCAAATTAGATAATTCTATTTCTAAAGCTTCGCATCGATCCTCTTTATCCTGAAGAGTTTTTCGTAATGCTTCTACTTCATCGGACACAGAACGAGCATTTGCTTTTTCTTGAGTAAGTTGTTCAATGATAGAATCTTTGGTATTAAGCTGCGACATCAATTGTTTATTATCCTTCTCTAGCTGTTCAACACGTGTATTCTTTAATATATATATAAATATATATAAAATATGAATTATTTTTTTAATCTTTAAAGTAAAAGATGTGCAAAGTCTAAATGATCGCGTTTAATGAATTAATTACCTGTGATTGTAAAGATTCCAATATCTTCTCCCTTTGTTCACCGGCTTCAATAAGACGATTTTCACCATTTCGTATCTTTTCCTCCAATTCAGAATTCTGCCGTCTTAATGCATCCACCAATAATTGACCTTCTGCCAGTAATTCTTCACTGCGCTTATATCGATCTTCCATTGCAGAATATTTTTCCAAATCTGAAGCCGAAGCAGCCTTGTCATCAACTAACAGTGCAATGGTCTGTTGCTGCATATGACATATATTAGCAAGAGCTTCAGGTGTAAGAGGTTCCTCCAAATTAGCAGCAGGAGGAAGTATACTTTCTACGGTAGTTAAATCAATATTATTTGATAAAAGGTTAGGTTGTGATTGTTGTCCATGTGGTTGAGAAATTGGTTGAAGTCCTTCTATTAATGAACTATGTGTTCCTAGGCTTGTAACTGAAGGGGATTGTGGAATATAATCCGAATAGTCTCTGTAATAATGAAAATATCTGTGGTCAAATCCAAACTATACGATGATAATTCTTATTTTATTTGCAAAAGTACGGTAAAAAAAATTTTGTAAACTCACTGTGAATCTTGAGTTTCAACTACATCAGAATCGATACTTTTAGGTGCAGAGAAATTAGCATTAGAATCTTCTACTATTTTGGTCGTTCTAATCCATTGAAATATTAAATATAAATTAGTGAAGTGTTGTTATACAAAAATATAAATAGATTTTTCAATTAAATATATAGTTAATTGCCATCAGTAAAACAATTTATTATCATTGCTCCTGCTTGGAGTTCAGTCTTAGATGTTCTGTATGATTTTTATTTAATTAATCATATGGCACTCGAGAGTTTTTAATCCCTTTCGAAAGTTTAACGTTGAACATATAAAGTATTGTAGATATATTATATAAATATATATTATTTTTTTTTCAAAAAATAAATTACATACTCTTGCTCCTTCTCATCAGTACCGTCAGCTTTAACACTTCCCGAATCCGATGCGACACTATTCTTTCCATCACCAGTGGGTGCAGCAGATTCTGAACTAGTTTTACGCGTTGATTTGGTAGAGTCTACCGAGCCAACTCCTTTCTTCTTCTTCTGATACTTCTTTAACTAAACGAGAGAGGGAGTTACCATTTATAGTGCTTCTTTTCCAGAGAAATTCCTTATTTAATAATACCTTTTTCTTTGCAGCAGCTACTTTTTGATCTCTTGCTGCCTCATCCATATTAATATCGTTTAATAATAATAAATATACTGATCATGAAACAAGTAATATCGAAGTGACAATCACGTGAATATACCTTAAATTACGTCACAACCTTCCTTGTAACGAACGCAGTGATATGCATTTCGTTCCAGCTTATCCAATATAGATACTTTCATACACTTATTTGCCAATTCAAATCATTGTGGAAAAAGCTATCTATTATTATAAATAATTAATTATGACGAATTTCACTTCTAGTAAATATACAATGAATTATTTTACAAAGGACAAACTTAGTATTTTTATGGCATGCAACTCCCGTTATATCACGGGGGATTACATCATCTATAAGTTTATTAGCGGATCAGTAAGCAAATAGACCAGTCATTTGAGTCATTTGCTATTCTCTTGCGCCAATAAAATTCACTTGCCCACCTCTCGTCAGCTCCTCTCTTCAACTCCTCTCTTCTTCTGCCATTAAAGACAAAATTTCTGACAAGATGGTTTCTGTCACTAAATCAAGTTCCTGACGAGCTTGGCAGGTTCTAGGAAAATTGCGTGTATAAAAATAAACGCACAGAATTTAAGTTGCTTCGCCGAAATCGAAAAAACGAATTTCAAAACGAATTTCAACCTAAAATTTGCGAAATTGCAAATAAATTAGGGACCGTGAAATCGAAATTGTTAAAAAAGATAAAGAACTAGCTGTGGCCGCAATCAAGACAGTGAGTTGTGCTTGATTTTTTTTTTTTTTTTTTTTTTTTTTTTTTTTTTTTATATTAGAAATAAGAGTTTTCATTCGTAACATTCATATTATCCTTAGGGTTATTTAAATCTGGATTTTCTCAGGTTAAAAGGATCTGTACATCTTAGGGGTGTCTTTGAATTTAATGAACATGTTGAACAAGAACACGATTTGATACATATATGTGAGATTGGGTTAGTAAAAATTTTATTTACTTTCACTATGGATATTTATTGACTTGTGTACTTAATCTCCAGAACATTGGGAGTTATTTTCCTTGAGTAGTTTTGAGGGAAACAGAGGGGCCAAATGGACCAAGTATCTAAATGAAATAAAGATGCATTAGTAACTTTTCACAACTTTATCCAAATCCAAACGAAATTGATATTAACCATGTGGTGGCAAGGATGAGAAGATTTTATAAATCGTACTCCGAAAGAATCCATAACGTATATTAACGTATATGCAGTCGGGGAGTCTGTAGAATGAAGTCGTAATTCATTAACTCCTATACGAAATAAAGTGGCAGAATATATGGGGCCTTTGCAATAGAAAAGGGGAAACGGCTGGAAAAAATAAAAATTGAGTTCATGCTAAATCTGAACATATTTTGACCTAAAAATCATATTTGGCATATAAAAGTAAAATTGATTTTTTCCGGCTGTTTCCTCCCTTTCTATTGCAAGGTCCCATATGTGTAAAGAGCTTAATATCGAATATCGCATAGTTGAACCTTATGGAAAAGAGTTTGAAATCACCACCGGTGAGGTTACCTCAAACAAAGACTAATCATTGTTCTCTATTTAATAAATCGTAATAATAAACAAGAATTTAACAATCTCGTAAGAAATTATAAGTTTCATGATTCAAAAGACTTTTGTCTAATATTATATTATAAGTAAAACAATAGAAAAATATGGTTAATGTAATTGCAAAAGTTGTCAATGTTCAGAAATTTATCTATTTTCAAATGTACCGTTTTTACCATGTCATTTGTCACATGTATAAGAACCTTATAACCTTGTACTGTTCCCAGACAGTAATTAGCTTTATCACTGTCAGAATAAATAAAGGATCATGTGTTTAATTATCCAAAAATGCAATTTCTGTAAATGTCTGCGCGACAGAATAACTTTTTACCAATAGCATTTCAACTTTTCCGAAAGTGTGTGTGAACTCTATGGTCTCTATGGTATTAGCAGTGACCCGAATCCCAACATTGATATGGTTTCTATGGTTTCGCAAATCCAAATAGCGAAAAGTTCAAACCGTGGTTGAGCACCTAATGGCAACGAACTATTATCATCTAGATAGTGGAGTTCGTTCTATGAAGATGATTTCAAAATCATACCGGAAAAACTTATTGAGGGATTGAGGGATATATATTAGCATATATAATGTATTTGTAATCAATAAACTTCTATTCTTTATTATATGAAGTAATCTTACTCTTATATGTATAATATGATTTTAAACCAAAATTATATTCAGATTTATCTTTTTATTTTCAGCAGTTTTACCCTTTTTAATTACAAAGATTCTATTTGAAAAAGGAAATAATAGATTATTTAAATTAGGTTAATAAAAATTTCATTATAATCTTAAATTAATAAAAAAAAGTGTTACTTTTATATCAGAGAAATTTTTTGACTATTTAGCTATAATTAATAACTAAAATAATCAAATAGTCAAATTTCATGTACTAATAAATAATTAAGATTTATTAGCATTTAATTATGACTAAAGAATATTTTGGTGACTAATGGTTAATAGCTAATTTTAATTAAATGGTTAAAGACTAAAGATGACTCCACTGCTTATAAGTTGCGGATTAAGTTTCAGATTTAAAGTTGCAACTATTATGAATTTTAAATAATTAATTCCACAATATCCGTAAGTTTACAAAATCTGTAAATTCATAATTAATCCGCAAGTCTACAATTAATTTGCTATAAATGTCATAATAATTATTAATTACATAAATACATAATTTATAATTTTGATATAAAGATGTAAATATATTATGAAAAATACATATGTAACAAATTTTATTAGATTAAATAAAAATAAAAAATTGTTAAAAAATATTTATAAATGAAAAAATTTTTTCAAAGGTTCAATCTACAAAATAAAAGAAACATTAATAAAATGTTCTGACTCTACCTTGATTCAGATATATAATTAAAATTTTATTAATTTCTATTTTGAATAACAATGACACCTTAATTAAAAATTTTTACTCAGTTTAAAAAGTTCCGCAAGATAAGCTAATGTTAGTTTTTTTAAAAAAAAAAATTTTAATTCAAAAACCTTTATAATATGACTTACTGTATCTCTTTAATTCAGAAATTCCACTATTTAAAGAATCTGAATCAGTTTATAAGGTAAGCTAATGTTAATATATTTTTTTTTTTAAATTAAAAAAAAAATTTTAATTAGAAAATTTTTATCTTTTAATCCAAGTATTTCAATGTTTAAATGTTTCAGATCAATCTACAAGATAAGCTAATTCTAATATTTTTTTTTTAAAATTAAAAAAAAAATAATTTAATTAAAAATTTTTACAATGAGACTTACCTTTAATCTAAAGATTTTATTATTTAAAGAATTCAAAACCTATAAAAAAGTAAATGTATATTAGTTTTTTTTTTTTTTTTTTTTAAAAAAAAAATTCTAATATACTTTTACCTTCCTTTATAAAAACTTATCTCTAATTCCAAAACTTGAAGAACTTTAGAACCTACAAAAAAATAAATATTAGTTTTTTTATTTTTTTATTTTTTTATAAAAAAAAATCTTACACTTTTTTCTCTCTCTATAGGAATTTACTTCTTATTCTAAAATTTTAGAACCTACAAAAGATAAGTATTAATTAGAATTTTTTTTATTTTTTTTTGTTTTAAAAAAAATTCTTATTTATCTCTCTCTTTATAAGAACTTTTCTTCAAATCCAAGGCTTGAAAAACTTCAGACCTACAAAAAGATATATGTTAGTTTTTTTATTTTTTAAAAAAAAAATTTTCATATTCTCCTCTCCCTCTATAAGTACTTATCTCTGATTCTAAGGTTTAAAAAAACTTCAAAACCTATAAAAAGTAAGTATTAATAAGTTCTTTCTTTTAAAAAAAAAATTATCATCCTTTTTTTTCTCTATAGATACTTACCTCTGATTCTAAGGTTTAAAAAAACTTCAAGACTTACAAAAATAAGTATCAATTAGTTTTTTTTATTTATTTATTTTTTTTTGTTTAAAAATCTCATTCTTCCTTCTTTTTATAAATACTTACCTCTGATTCCAAGACTAGAAACTCTAAAACCTATAAAGATAGCATTAATTAATTTTTTTTTTTTTTTAAATCTCACCCTCCTTTTCCTCTATAGATATTTATTTTCAATTATAAGACTTGAAGAAACTCTGAAACCTATAAAGGTAAGCATTAATTAGTTATTTTCTTTTTTTTCTTAATTTTTTATTTTTTTTTAAAAAAAAATCCATTATTCTTTCTCTCTATAAATACTTACTTCTAATTTTAAAATATAAAGAAATTTTAGAATCTACAAAAAATAAGTATTAGTTAGTATTTTTTCTTTTTTATTTTATAAAAAAATTCTAATATAATCTCCTTTCTTTTCATAGGAATTACAAGATTGAAGAACTTTAGATTAGATCTATAAGGTAAATTAATATTAATTTTTTTTTAATTAAAAATAAAATTTTCTTATTAGGCTTTATTTCATTCGAAAATTTAAGAATTTGGTAATACAAAATGAAATATTAATAAATGTTTCTTGTAGCAAAGAAAAATCAACTGTTTTTTCATATTAAAATAAAGAAGATAATAACACTAGATAAAAATACATAATGAGAAACTAATAAATAATAAATTTGTAAAAATATAATACAATCTAAATTATAATAAAATTAAATATTTTTTTATTTACCATTTGAAATTATAAAACTTCTACTTATGAAATAAACAATTAAATATTCCTTTTAATTAAATTAGTAAACCAAATAAAAATAATTTATATATATAATAATTATAAAGAAATATGTTGTGTAATAATGATCTAATATAAAATTTTATGATTAATAACATATGAAATAATGTATTTTATCTTTTTTATAGAGTTTATCAATTAGATTAGAAGTTAATCTAATAAAAAAAGTAAGAATTTTTCTTTTTATCTATTATCATTTATTATCATTTTATTATTATCTATCACAATAATCATTATTATTTATTTTTTAATTATTATTATTAGGAATAAT